ACTCAGGGACATTGCAAGTCTCCACTTAGTGAACTGAAAACTGCTGTTTAATGTATCTAAAGTACAGTCGAAATCTTTATTAAAATGTGACCTTCAGTAATGTTAGCATGCACACAATATACACACATACATCTGGGGACATTGCAAGTCTCCACTTAGTGAACTGAAAACTCCTGTTTAATGTATCTAAAGTACAGTCGAAATCTTTATTAAAATGTGACCTTCAGTAATGTTAGCATGCACACAATATACACACATACATCTGTACCCTCTTTGACACACCTCGCATCTTTGGAGTGTGGGATCAGTACTTTAAGAAAAAAAGAGATCTTTTTATGGTATATAAAAGGATTTTAGTTTAATCCTGAAAGCCATGGAAAGGCACAGAAGGAAACAACATGAACAGAACTGATTGTTAAAACAAGGCCATTCCAGAAACACTGCTTGGTGAAACAAATTTAGCAAATACTATGAAAAACCTTCTATTTGCCAGACAGAATTGGAAGCCAGATGACCACTTAATGAGGCAACTGTAATATCTTAGGTTACAAACCAAAGCAGTGGCAGTAGTAATGGAGCAGTGTGGCTTTGAGGGTTGAGGTAAAACTATCAATTCTAAGTAGATCAGATTTGGTTTAGAGTGGGGAAGCAAAAGAGAAATCTAAGGGTTACCTCCTATTGAACAATGTTACCCCAATACATTTAATTAGAAAGAAAAAGAGGAAAGAAAACAAAATTCTCAAGTTACTGATAATGTTGTTTATTGATATGAAATATAATACTGATTTTGGTGGACAGATAGTCTGGGGAATTTACGCATGGTGAAACTGACATTTGTGTAAAGGGAGAGATCCACAGTAGGCAAAAATATGGACTTGGTGCCTTAGAAAGACGTAGGAGAAAACATTCAGTTATTAGTATATATGAAATATTGAAGACATGAGTAGGGGGTAAAAATAGTCAATATTTGCTATATACTTATGCACCCAACATAAAGAACACGTTCAGGGTCTTATAGCTACCATGAAAAGTTCAAATCAGATACTTAGGCTCTAGGGGGAAGAAAACAGAAATCAAGTTATCACTACCAGTTCTACAACTGGATCACACACATTAAAGCAAACTTTACTGCATGTTACATTCAGGTTGGAGGTACTCAGCCTTTATGATAACCCTACTAATAGGCTACCAATGATTCATTTGGGGTCAAGTACAAAAGGTCTTTACCTCATCAGTTTTCAACCAGTGTTCCTTATGGTACAGTTTAGACAGCATTATTATGAAGTATCTTTGTTTTCCGAGGTTTCCCATAGGCAGTTATTTTTGGTCCCCTACACATGTGATCAAACCCTGAACCTTCACAGATTAGCTCACCTTATTCATCTATAAAGGTTTGCCTTTTCATTCAGGCAAAACTGATTCTTCCTATTTTATCATTTTTCTACCATGAAAATTTTACGGAGTGTTCTCCTACTAGACTGAGGTAATGGGAAAGTGGTTGTCTTAGTTTGATCTTTGAATCCAGGTCCTTTTATTTCATTGAGTAATGCTATATAGCTTTCCTCATAATCTTCTTAGATGTATTTTTAAGCATTCATTAAAGTATTTAGAAATTTACTTAATTATAAATCATTTTCTCATGTTAGTACCTTTTAATACAGACATTTAGGAACAATTATGTTTATCTTTTGTTTCTGTATATAATGCTACACCACCTTGTACCCTGTTTAACCAACCACGTGCTGCAAACGTGGCTGGGAAGAAACAAATGAACGTTTATTGGTCACCCTCAGTGACTGCAAACTTGGCTCTATTACTACACAGATCCACTCCTCCTGATACTATAGTTAATTGTCAAGGCTCCTATTTAAGGTCGAAGCCATCACCACTGCCACCACAGTGCTAGATCCCATTCCCTTTACTTGATGAACCTAACAATTCTTCCTTCTCTGCATCATTTACTTTGTTCTATTGGAGAATGAAGGCATGTCACACTCAGGATCCAACCTGAAAGAACTCCCAATGGCTAAAGCTCGAACAATTTGAGCCATAAAACAACACTGCACTGAACTATGACCTAAAGTATAAAATAAACATGCAAGAGCTTAATCAGATATAAGTGGACAAATCTTACAGATGAAGTCAAATATAAGTAGAAGTCCTCTTCAACAGGAGACAGCAGTTAACACCACCACCCCTTCCCTACTCTGAAGGTGGGCTATATTTAGTAATTTGCTACCAAAAAATGGAGTAGGATAAGAGGAAACTAACTACAATGGTGTATTAGGACATTTCCTACCTTAACCAAGTGATGCAGGTTAACATCTCTAATGATGTCATGGATATCATGTATCCCTGGTATGATGTGATAAAGGGCAGTTTTCCTGTGTGATAGTCTTTCCAAAAACACCTAACACCAGTCTAACCACAAGAAAAAATATAGACAAACTTAGAGTGAGAGGACATTCTACAGAATACCAGGTCACTATTCCTCAATATTGTCAGTCATCAAAAACAAAAGTCAGACCAGCAAAGACTGAAGAAATAAGACAACTAAGTGCAATGTGGTACCTGTATCAGATCCAGGAACAAAGTAATAGAAAAATGGCAAAACTAAAATAAAATCTGAACTGTAATTAATAATATACCAATGCTGGTTTCTTCGTTTTGACAAAAGGACATGGTAACATCTTAAAGAATTATTTTTATTACTTTTGTTACAGATGTTCCCCCCCCCCCCCCATCCCCAGCTTTGTTGTCTATGTCCATTGGTTATGCATAATCAATTCTGTGGTTTATCTCCCCCCACCCCTTTCTGAGGTTTGTCAGTCTGTACCCTACTTCTATGCCTCTGGGTCTATTTTGTTCATCAGTTTGTTTATTTCCATAAATAAGTAAGATCATGTGATATGTCTTTCTCTGCTTGGCTTGTTTCGTTTAGGATAATACTCTTCAGGTCCCTTCGTCATCTCAAAGGATAAGAGCTCTTTCTTACCGCTGCATAGTATTCCATTGTGTATATGTACCACAGATTTTTTATCCACTCATCTACTGATGGGCACTTGGGCTGTTTCCAGATCTTAGCCATTGTAAATAGTGCTGCTATGAACATAGGGATACATATATTCTTTCTAATTGGTGTTTCAGACTTCTCAGGGTACATTCCTAGAAGTGGGACCACTGGGTCAAATAGCAGTTCAATTTTTAATTTTTCGAGGTAACACCATAGGGTTTTCCATAGTGGCTGCACCAGTCTGTATTTCCACCAGCAGTGTACTAGAGTCCCCTTTTCTTCACACCTTGCCAATACTTGTTTGCTCATTTGTTGATGGTGGCCATTCTTATAGGTGTGAGGTGATACCTCTTTGTTGTTTTAATTTGCATGGACATGGTAATATCTTAACAATGGTGGAAAACGGTGGGAAGTGTATGGGAACTCTCTGTATAATCTTCACTTTTCTGTAAATTTAAGGCATTCCACCGAAATAATATGTCTGTCTACTTTCCTTCCCATACATGACTGAAATGATTACCTTTTTACCAAATCACCAGATTAAAAAACATCTGACCATTCTGGCTTAATGTTATCTTCTCAAAGAGGTTACTTGGTTGTTATGAGAGGTAATACTGAAGTTGCCATCAGATTTGGGGGTAAATCCCCATTTAGCCAAACCTGTGGCTCCTTTGGGCAAATTTTTAATTCTCTTGAGCTGTAATCCTCTTTTATATAAAACAGGAGACATATAATAGTATGTAAAGGTGACAAAGATAAATAATGCCTGTAAACCACTTAATACATACCTTAAACTATCTTTTCATTAAAACTGTCCATTCTTGCCCTGGCCGGTTTGGTTCAGCGGTTAGAGCGTCGACCTGCGGTCCTGAGAGACCCGGGTTCGGTTCCCGCTAAGGGCATGTACCTCGGTTGCAGTTTGTCCCCGGCCCTGGTTGGTCGTGCGGGTGGCAGCCACTCGATGTGTCCCTTTCACGTCGATGTTTCTCTCTTTCTCTCTGTTCCTCTCTCTCCCTCCCACTCTACCTGAACAAAAAAATGGAAAAATGTCCTCGGGTGAGGATAAAAAAAAAAACAAAAACAAAAACAAAAACAAAAAACTGTCCATTCTTATTTTGCAAAAATAGAACAGAAATACAATTTCAATTTCAGGAAAGCTACAAGGTTATTTCTATTTAAAAAAAATTAACAATTATATCAAAAAGAGGGGGAAGAATGGAGAAATTCTCTACCTTCTTAACAACATCTACAATACCGGCTGTCACACAGCAAGAAGAGATGAGACAGGAAATGTGTTTTGAGACAAGACTTGTTTTATCTTCATAGCTATGCTTAGAGATGGTGTTACATTTAGAGCTTACTCTGAACTTGATGATAGGATTGCAAAGAGAAACTTAAGAAAACTTAGCAGTTAAAAGGGAGAGTTGTTGAGTGCTATGAAGTGAGTTTTAAGAGACATTCAGGAAACAAACTATGGTATGAAATAGGTATGTTATGTTCTGGTAGAAAATATTAAACTAATTTGGGTAATGTACATTTTTTTTTTTTTTTTTTAATCCTCACCCGAGGACATTTTTTGATATTTTGTTCAGATAGAGTGGGAAGGAGAAAGAGAGAGAGAAACATCGACGTGAAAGGGACACATCGAGTAGTTGCCACCCGCACAACCCAACCAGGGCCAGAGACAAACTGCAACCGAGGTACGTGACCTTAGCGGGAACCGAACCCGGGTCTCTCTGGACCGCAGGCTGAAGCTCTAACCGCTGAGCCAAACAGGCCAGGGCTAATCTACATTTTCTTAAAAAGTCACAAAAATTTTGAGTACTCAAGGTGATAGTGATAATGCTTTGCAATGTTTTAAACCAAGCCCTCCTACATAAAAATAAGATGACATTATATAAAGGGCAAGTGAATATAGAGTTTAAAACATGTAATGAAAAGTAACAAAGACTGCAAATAGCTTTAAAAATGAACATTAAATCAGAGCTTAAAAATTCTCATTTATTTCTAACAAACACCACTTGATGCTTGACTCACAAGCTTTATTTACATTTGTCTACAGCATCATTTCCTTATGAAATGGACTAGTACAGCTTAGTTAAACCAAATGAAATCATAATCATCTGAATTGTCTGTATACTACTACTAGCTACATTTATAATCTTGCATTTGCTTAGTACAGCCAAAGTTTTAAATACAGAAAGCACAAGAATAAACCGACAGTAACATGTAGAATCTAAAAGATCATCTGGGCAATTTAGAAGGTGGACTTTCAAGAAGTCTGAGGCACAATTACAAGAGAGAACAGTCCTTGTGCAAACTACAGTAAATGTGGCAAAGAAAATTAAGACACAAGAAAACAAGAGGAAAGTTCATTGTAAAAATATTATCAAAATATTTCTACGTAAGATATTTTGCTTTCATCTTTAGATCAGCTGAAGAAAAAAATCACTTATTTTAAAATAAAAAAACAAATATAATTTTGTTTGGTCTGTCTACAAAATACCTTAAAACCTTTTAATTGCCGAAGACATTACTGTTTAAAAAATAAAAATACCGAAACAGTGGGTATTAATCCCCATAACAAAAAGTCCCCAAGCACAATTGTTGATTTTCCTTAATATACTTACCTTGTATTGTCACTGAAGATACTGTTAAGAGAAACCTTTTTGTCTTTACACCAGAAGATATAATAAAGCTCAAGTGACCAGATTTTAATTTTGAGAAATAAACTCTGAAAGTATTTTAAGCCATAAGTAATTTCAAGTGAAAAGGAACAATTATTTCTGCTTATGTCATGTAGAAATAAACATTCATTTGTCACTCAGAAGAAAATTTTATGCTGTGTGTTGGAAGTTAAACATCACTGCAAATGTCTACTTAAATTAACAATGTGTCTGTCTGTTGGGTCTTTCACCCAGAGAACTATACTTCAGAAGCTTTCTTCAATTTGTTCTTCATTAAGTATAATTTAGTTTTGTCTGCCCTATCATTTAAAGGATATTACACAAAGCTGCTTAAAATATTAAGATAAACATCTTGAAATTTTTTTTCATCAAACGACCATATCAGCAGATTAGAAATGAACTGTTAGATATTCTTACTCAAAATTGTGTGTCAGAAAGTGAGAAATGAGTAACACCTTTCTCCTACAATTCACAAGATTTTTCTGCATTAAATGTGGTGCAAAAGGTAAAACCGAATAAAAGAAAGACAATGATTCTACGGCACCCTTAGCATAGGGAATTTCATGAAGCTTCCCGGTTGGCTGTTTTACAACTAGTTCAACTTTTTCTGATAAGAATCACTTTAATATAGGTTAACATAAACAGGCTGACTCCTTTTCTCAGGTTAAAATAAATAAGACTGTTTCCAACTACTTCACCACAGTCCTGCTTCCATGCCAAAATTTTAGGCAAGCCTAAGGAAATCTTATCTTAAATCAATAAACAATTCCTATTTGGAAATGAGAAAATCAAGAATTCAGATTAAGAAACAAAGTAAAAAAAAAAAGAAACAAAGTTACTTTGTTATAGCTGAGATGGTTTTAAATAAATGGTTGTAAATAAAGAGTGATAAATAGAGCATCTATTTTGGGACTTTATGGCTTAAAATACTATTTACTTTTAATTTCACAAATAAACACAGCTGTATTGTTCTGAAAAGCAATGAAAGGCATGCACCTCTACTAGCAGATTTAGCACTTCTGACCAAGTAAGACACCAACTTCTTAAAAAATATGCTTCATGCACTGTACTGGACTTTTTTTTTTAAGATGTAAATTTTAATACATTATTTCTTTTTTGAACTTGAACGAGAACCAGAATGGGATGATCCAGAAGATGACCTGTGGTGCCTGTAAGACATAATGGAGAAAGCAGGTAGTCTAGTAAGCTGGAGCTGGATATCATCATTCATTCATAAGACTATAAAATAAGAATATAAAAAATTAAGCTTCATTACACTGGCAAAAAAAAAAAAAATTAAAATCTAAGATATAAACTTATACACACAAAATTAACTAGTGTTTAGCCTTTGGATGTGAGCCCAGTAATAGAATTTAAAATTCTCTATAATTAAAAAATCTCTCATGTCAAGATATAGCCACCTCTCAATTATTTAAGGTAATGAAGAAAAGCCTTGCAAAAACGTGTAAAATTACAGATAATATACAACAAAGGCATAAAAACTTGGTAATGGAAGAGTGACTAAGACAATCTCTGTGATAACATTGTAGATAGTGTGGTAAGTATATATAAGAGATACAGCAAGGCTTCTTCTGATTGTGTATGAGAATATATATTCATAAATAATTACATTTTGGAAATCTAGGTCTCACAAGATGATTGTACAATTAGTTAAAGGGTTATATTCATGCAGCCAATATGAATAAGTCAATATATCAACCTGGGTAAAGTAGTGGTGTTCCGAGGGGTTGGCCCTGGGCTCAGGGTTGTTTAGTGTTTTCACCAATCACCTGGCTTATGGAATAGAGAAGATGTTCATTAAGTTTAGATGACAACAAACTAGGGGGATTATATGTGGCTAAGATAAAATTTGCAGAAGTGGTAAGAAAGCAAAAGAATGAATTTCACTCAAGTATAGAGTTATTTTCTTACAAAAAAAAAAAACAAAAAAAAAACAACAAACAAAAACAAATGCAGAGAAACAAGACTAGCTGTGTGTAACCTTAATATCTAAACTTCAAAATGTGAAGTAGCAAAATGAATCATTCTGTACAAGTAGGAATCGTGAGGTAATCCTACCACTGAACCTAGGAATAATCAGACATTACCTAATCCTTACTTTCACAAGCTGAAAGGACAAGAAAAACTTTGCCAAGAATACAAAAGAAGCCATTAAACTGACTATATAATTAGACATTTAGAATTAAGAACAAGTTACTGAAACTAATTAATTAGCCTGCTGCAGAAAAGCTGACACATGACACACTCTCCAAATTTAAAAATGTCAACATAGATAATGTAATCTAGTAAAGGTCTTTCTCAAAAAGAAAAAAAAGGCATTTGTACTGCAAGATGAAAAAAATGTGTTAGCTACAAGAACAATTCCCTTATAAAGAGCATCAGACAATAATTTGCTGCGAAAATTCATTTATACATATTTAAATGAGGACAGATTTCCAATGATCTAGAATAATTATTTTTACTAGATGCCCTAGAATCCTGATTTCTAATATTTAATGTAAAAATTTATAGCATAATTACATATAAAAATCAACTTCTAAATTACTTCAACATACACCTTCTGAATTAAAATCTTAAAAGACAAAAATAACCGAGAGTTGGCTATAATTATATGTGAAAATAAATATTTAAACAATAAAATAAACAGATAGTGGAAAAGAGTGGTTTGATCTACAACTTTCTAAACAACCTGATTGAAGCACAAAGGATAAACAATGTTTTTTGAAGTATAAAATTGAGAAGTATAATTTAAAGTTGGACTAAAGGAGATTTTAACAATCTAACCCTTGACTAGAAAGTTTAATCTATTAAACACACTTAACACCCATTCTTATTTCTACAGAAACCCAAACCTTTCGGGTGACCGTGATCTTGTTCGTCTTTTTTTGCGATCACCAGATGAAGATCTAGAATGACTTCTCTTTCTGTTCCTCTCAGGAGAAGATGATGAACTTGAATAAGATCTTTTTCGTGGGGAAGAAGAGCCCCTGTGGGATCTGGAGCTGGATCTTCATTGATTGAGAAACAAATCAAACATTTCATTAAAAGAAGAAATAAGGCGGATCCTTTAGTTAACAGCTCCAAAACAAACAGGACTTATAACTGAAAATCTTACAAGAAGAAATACTTACTGCTTACTCAACAGAAGACTTCTGGTTCAACCATGAAAACAATTCTATTTAAATACATTTACTTTAATTTCATCTCTTTTTAAAATTCTAAGATAAGTGTTTACCACTTATAACTAACAACCAGCTTAATCATTACAGCAGAATTTTAAATTATTTTTTTTTTAACTTAAGGCTTTCATATTAAAGTACACATAAATAGCAAAACCAAGAGGTAAACTGTGCATTTACACTTTTTGTCTAGAAAATACATCCTTCCATTTGGAGGAAAAATATGTATAATATATATACAACCTCCCAAGAAAAATAAACATAATTCCTTGTGGAATTATGAAACTTATAGTTAAGTTGCTATAGAAAAAGCAGGGATAGGGGACAGGAATGAGAAAAAACAGTAACTATTAAATTGCTAAATAGTGAAAAATAAAATAAAATGAGTAACTTTAAAACTTGATTTATATCAGCAATATTTATTTTTATGAAGGACCACTATTCATGACGTATGAAGTGTTGACATTCACATGTTTTAGGTAGAGGTAAACGTGTAAATGTTTAAATACATTTCTTTTCTTCATTTACTTATTTTGAAGTAATTTAACTCAAACTTCCCAAAAAATTCACCTTTGGGCTTAAAATAAACTTAGAAAGCCCAAAAGGAGAATTCTTTGGAAAGTTATAAGCAATGAAAAAATGTTTGGAAAGAATATGAAGGCTGTTCTGTAAACCTTATATTGTGCTTCCCAAAGGGAACTAGGACTTATCTTCACCTAAGAAGCACTCAAAGGACTAAAACATTGACAATACACATCATCATCACAGTAACAACAATAAACTGATTTGCTCTAATTTGTATTGAATTAATACAACTGTGCATATCATTCTTTTCTTAATTTTGTTAAATTACAGTTGCCCTCTAATGCTACAGATTTGGCTCTAATAAGCTATTAAGCCATCATTTTTACCAAAGGAGCTACCACTAATCTTCAGGATAAAGTTCTACACAAGTAAAATTTTAGTGGTTTTTCTTATTCATGTTAGATGCTTTTACTGTATCAATAACTTAAAGAGAAAGGTGGTATATTTAGACAATGTTTAGGAAAACTATTGTATATATATATTTTTTTACAAATTGTTTTACCCTCCGTATGACTAAATGCAACCTGAAGTTAATAATAGTATTACTTAAGATTACACTCTACCTAGACTAGCCAACCACACTTGATTTAATTTGTGGAATTTAAGAGTGTCTGTTCTATACATACTGTTTATAATATTCTATGTAATATTACAGAGAAATGAAAATATGTGTAAGACTCCCCGGTAGAAACTTTATCTGATATAAATAACAAAATTGCTTTTGTAAATACTGAAACAATTTCCTTGCAAAACAAAATCTACTTTGAGCCAAACTGATTTTTCTTCCTTTTAAAAATGAAAATAAATGTTTCCTTTTCATTTGCATATCTCTAATTTTATTTGAACTACTACTGGAAACATAACTAATGTACAAGAGATCTGGTAATAAGACTTGGCTCCACCTTCCTACTTCATCACATTTTAGCACAAAAATAACAAACCTTGCATAATGCAAAATAACCACCTTAATTCAATCATGGGAATGTCTTGGCACACTGCAGGCAATGGAAACATCTCATGGTGAGAAAATTAAGCCGAGGCAAGTGCATTAGTTTTCTAATGCTAAAATAAAATTGACAAGTAGAAGCAAAATAAGAGGGAAAAAAAGCAGCAACACCTTCTGTGGCCTTTAAATGTTTTTTTCTCTCTGCTTTACAGAGAGATGCTACCTCATTCACCTTGATTTCGACCCACGAGATCTCGAACGTTCTCTGGAACTGGAACGAGATCTTGACTGCGAACTGGAAGAACTTCTTGAACGGGACCTGGAACAACATGGAAGAACTTTTTTTTTCCAGGACCACTTAATTGAACTTTGTGATATGAATACTGAAAGAAAGATATGCATTAGAATTCATCGTCATATAAAAAGACAACTGTCTGAAATATGTATTTTCAAAACACAACATTTTAACTTTTTGTTTTGACATTTACATAGGTAATTTTTAAAAATAATCAACTCACTTTTCAGGTTTGACAAAATTACCCTAAATATTACTCAAGATTGTACAAATAAAAACATTCAGCCATATCACTTTATTAATACTGAATACTTTACATTTACAAGTAATATTTAAAAGTAACCCAGGATTTAACATATCCAAGAATTTTAAATGTTGCAGTGTATATTTAACTTTTCTGAAATATCCATTAATTCTTCTTATAAAATCCCTTCTGTTTCCTCAGTCACTCACTATCTAGTCTGAAGCTTTAAATGATGATGCGTATGTCTGTTTAACCCCATTTGTCTGCCTACTCAAAAGTTAGAGAACTAAAGGGAAAATACATTAACAACCTTGTCATTGTTTTCGGTAATAATATTATTGAAAAATGACAAAGGGAGATATTTAAACTTCAGAAATCACAAGAAGAATTGAATTCAGTACTAATCTAACTTACATATTTAATATGTTCCTTAAAATAACCTACAGCAAAAGATTATTCCAGTTTCATCTTAAAATTACTATCTTTAGAATCAATCACTCTTTGAAGCTTAAACTGTAAGTACTCAATTAACTAATATTTTTTCCTAAATGCCATTAAAATTCATTGCCCATTGTTTCACTTAAACTGAATAAGAATTCAAGGGAACATCATTTATATATAAGGTCCTGCTTTTTCTCACCTAAAATTTTATTTTTATTGTTGACTACTCAATCAGAAAACATTTACATTACATTAATAGTATTATTATTACTAATAATATTCATTTACATTACTAACAAAATAATATACACCAATTGACTCCTCTAATTTATTCCTGAATATCTCAAAATTATAAGCATAAAGGCAACAGAATTTATATAACTGGAATTTTCTCCTTTATTCAGAATACGTACAACAAAGCAAATTATCAAAGCATTGTCTAATTAGCAATAATTTAATTAAGGACTAGAAAATTTCTATGCTAGCCTTTATCAGTGAAAACAAATCTTCACTTTAAAAATTTCTAAATGTAAACTATCTATTTAGATAATATACTATATATAATGATTTAATTCAATTTTTAAAATCTATTTTAACAAAAAGTCTGGTGATAAATGAACTGAGGAAGTTTCATATTAAAATTTGCATTTCTGGACAATAACTTCAAGGCACTAAGAAAAAATGATCTTTTAAAAGGTGACTTGAATGAAATCTCTAAAATAAAAGGAAAGCTTATTCAGTCAATAAAAACAAAATTTATAAATAAAGAAGTTAGATACTGACATTTTGACTGGTGTTACCCTTGACCTGTACCCGTTTACCTGGACCTAGACCTTGAACTTGAGGGGGAGGATGAGCGTGATGAAGATCGTGAATGTGAAGATCGAGACTTTGAGCGACTTCGTCTATTAGATTTCTTTTTATTACTATCTTCTTCTTCACTGGCATCAAGATTATATTTTGAGAGATCAGCATCATCTTCATCCTCATCCTAACAAAAATTCAGTGTCAATTATACTTAAAATTTAGGTATTAATGCTATCTACTACTAATGACTAACAGTTCTAGGTACTGGGCATCTCCAGATGAATATATATCGCATCACTAAATATCTCAGCAAATTCATTCTCAAGCCTGAAATCTGCCTATTACATTCCTTAGCTCAGCTAAGCAGACTTAACTATCTCAAATATTTCAAAAAAGCAAACCTACAGTGGTACTTATTTCTTCTTTTTCAGTCACAATGTAGTACCAAATAAGCTGTAGAATTTTCAGTTTTACTCCCATTAAAGACCTTGAATCCATCCCTCTTAGTACTTCATTCTTTACTGATACTACAGTAACCTTTCACGTGATCTCTCTAACTCAAAATCCATTTGGCATCCCCAGTATCTCAATGTTCAGGTTGACCTTTGAACAATGCAGGAGTTAGGGGCACCAACCTTCTGTGTGTAATTTTTGAGTTGCCCAAAACTTAAGCAATAACAGCTTATTGACCAAACCCTTACAAAAAAACATAAAAGTTGATTAACAACACATTTTATATGTTATATGTAAGCTAGAGACAAAAATGCTAAGAACATCACAAGAGAAAATACATTTATAGTATGTATTGAAACACAAATCGGTGTATAAGCAGACCTACACCACTCAAACCCGACTTGTTCAAGGGTTGCCTGTGTATACTGACAGTTACGACTCTGTAACACAGGTCAGATACCTTATCTGTTTCTTAAAAACCATCCCACATTGATTTGTTTAGTTGTACTCAAGGGCCTCTTATGATCATACCCAAAAGTAACCTTACTCTATCTAGATCTAGACATCCAACCATAAAACTTGACACTCAGGCCCACAGAACAAATATCATCAGACCTGATGTGGTGCCTTTCCCACCACATTCTCCCCTCTGCTCTAACCACACTAGCCTATGTTGATTTTTTTAATGTTGCTGGCTTGTTTCCTACTCAGGGAACCTTAATTTGATGTTTTATTTAAGTTCCATTAAAGAAGGGTATTTCTGTCTCAGTCATTATTCTATTTCCAGGGCCAGCATAGTGCTTGGCAGAGTGAAAGCTCAAAACCTTTGTGAAAACAAATGAGTACACAACAGAACGTATCTTTGCCAAAGGTCATCAAAAACTTTCATGTTATGACATAGACGAAATAAGACAAAGGGAAAATAAAGAAATCTTTTACCTCATCTAATTTATATTTAGAAAGATCTTCATCCTCATCCTCTTCTTCTCCCTCAGATTCTTTATCTTCGACTTCCTTTAAAATAGATGCTGGACCAACTGCCTTTCCTCTGTACTTTTTCTTTTTACGTCCAAACTAGAGAAAAAGTTTCATGGCACGTCTGTCAGCTAAGAATGTATTAACACTTTCTTCTAAGAAATTACTTGTATATATTTAAATTAATATACATTTTAAGTCCATTCTGCCAATTATATAGTTAATTATGACTTCCTACAAAATAAGTTTTTATAAGACTCAAAGTATACTTACAAAAATAAGATACATTTATATTTTTCCTTTGCACTTAAATATTTTTCTAAGATGTTTTTCTAATGTGTATTCAACTTGCACACTAACGCATAGCTTACCTCATCATATTCACCATCAGATTCCTCTCTTTCTATATATTCAACATTTTCTCTTTCATTAAAGCCGCCACCATATCCTTAAAAAAAAGGCATACATTGTTATCTTCTGACAATTCACTAAAATAACCAAAAAAATATCAAAATCACCTAAGCAAGAGAAAAAAGGAAAAAATCTTACCAATGAGATTTGCCTTACATATCATAATTACTAGTATTTTAAAAAGTATATTTAAAAAAAATCACTACAAAGAAATCTCAATGTGAGATATTTAGCTGGAAAGTCCTATAGCTATGCTTCTAGCTATTCTCAATTTCAAAGTGTCCTTAAGCAAAGAGGCAGACCATGCATGAAAATATATGGGTGAAAAACATCTCCTCAAACCTCTGCTACAACCAAGTTTCAAAAGTAAAAAAGGTCTGGCCAGTGTGGCTCAGTGGCTGAGCGTCAACCCATGTACCAAGAGGTCGCTGGTTCGATTCTCGGTCTGGACACATGCCCAGGTTGTGGGCCCGATCTCCAGTGGGGGACATGCAGGAAGCAACCAACTGATGTTCTCTCTCATCGATGTTTCTATCTCTCTCCCTCTCTCTCTCTCTCTAAAATCAATAAAGGAAAAAAAAAAAAAAAAAGTAAAAAGGACTTTCCTCTGTAGTCTATTATAATTCTGGGAGAACTGGGCTCAGTAAGAACCAAGAATCAAATTTCACTGTTTACCAAATGCAGACAGCCTAGAATCTTGACATATTGAAATTTTGCTAGGCTAAAATGCAGCTAGAGTTTGTAAAATTCCAAATGATACAGGCAAATTCAGTAATGTGATAATGAACATCCAAATTGATTTTAATGCAATTGCTTTTAATACACAGGTAAAAGTCACTGAAGGTTCTCTGAAGTAGCCAGTTAACTTTTAAACTGAAAATATTCTAGAAACCCATTTCCCATTTAGAAAAACAAAAGTGCTTTCAGCATTCATTTAATTTTACATAAACACATTCTTAGAGGCTGAAGCAAATCTGTTTTCCAATGTGAAAATAAAATAAAAACACTCTTCTTGGAGTTATTTCTAAGTAGAACTTATCTCTAACGTAACAAATGTATATGATGATCGGTGGCAAAGTTTAGGGGTGGGGTTAGGACTGTAATCAGTGAGTTATCTCGGAGTAAACGCTATAACTGCAAGTGCCGCTGGCAAGTATTCTTGAGACAAACGAGAAATGGGTTAAAAGATCAGCAAACCATTATTTTATGTCACAATTAACACATACAATTAGACTGTTAAGTCTTTCACGTAGGCTTAACAGAGACTGAAATAAGAGAGTTAGTTTCAGATATTAATTTGTCAGATAATATTGTATGAGTCGTTTAACAACAAATTCTAAGAGATGACTAACAGTAAAGACTGAAACTTCAAAATACTTAGATTAAAAAAAAAATCCATGGGATCGAGATCATTTAGTAATCTACCACTAAAAAATGATATGGCAAAAATGGAGAGCTAAAGAATACATTATAACCAAGATTTATAAAATGAACTATAATTCATACCGGTAATTTTGCATAAGATGTAAGTAGAAATTACTTTAAAAAGAATATCATATCAAATACAAAGCTATTTTCATGTTCTCTCATATAGGCCACAGAAAAACACTAACCTGTTGACAACAAAGAGACTATTAAAGTATGTTGTGTGGACCAATACGACAAATCCACCTCATGAATAGAACTCTTTCCCTATACATGGAACATACAGCTATCATGAAAAAACTTGAGTATATAACTTCCACTGGAAAATAGGTGAGGTAGAGGCATCACGGGCATGGTCTATACAGTTGTCCTTTGCTACTTTGTGCTTCGACTTTTGTGATAGAGAGAAGCCGACTGTATAAAGAATCCTACTTCGTAGAAATCCATTTACTGTATGTGTTTCCTTAATTCTACTGGTTTGAAACTTGTCAGATAATACTGTAAGAATTGGTCTTTTTGTTTCTGCTCTGGCTACCCTCCTCCTCAAATCTTAGCAATACAAACCAGAATTTTAAAAACATTAGGTTTTACTCTCTTGTTAAAAATCCTTCAGCTATTTCTCTTTACATTTAGAATAAAATACAAACTTCTTATACCATGATTTATATGGCTTTTGCCTATTTCTTAAGTGTTTTCTGGAGCTAACTAGTTCATCCAATATGCTAAATTCTTTCAAGTCTTAGGGCCTTCACACAAAGTGTTTGCCCTTGCTAAGAATGATGTTTCAACTTGTTACTTGCATAACTCATCTTTCTCTTCTTAGCTTAAACAATGATTTTTCAAACACACTGCTTTCTTAAAAAGCCTTCATTAATCTTTGGCTCTACATGTTTGTTTTGCCAGTCTAAGTATTCCCAACATCTTGCACAATGGCTAATAAATTTCTTCAATGAATACAGAAGACACCGTAATTCTAGTACCATTTAAAGAATTTGAGTTTTTAAGCTTTAAAATACAGTTTAGGTTGCAGGTGTTACAATAACAATATTTTTGTATTTGTCTTGTCTCACAGTAAAATGTAAAAAGGTGAACAATGGACAGTAAAACATTAAACACAGGTTTAAATCTGGCCTGAGTTAGGGCTGTGACAATGGAAATGAACAGAGAAAAGGGGATGATATATAATGTGTTCTTCAAAGAACTAAGGCACTAACTTGAAAATTCTGTGATTCTATATTTTGAAACATTTAATTAATCCAACTTCTGAGAACTTATTCTAAAGAAATCAAAAGAATGAAAATCACAATGTATTAAGATTGTTTCTACTGTAGTTTTCCTTAATGGTTAAAAAAAAAAAAGCAAAAGCAACCTCAAAATCCAGCTAAGCAAATTATTATATAACCATTTGATGGAATTATGCAGAAGTGTGCAATATTTTAGAAGTAGTGCATGAAGCTTTCTTTTATTCACAGCCTTTTCCTTAGTTTTTGAGCTTAGAAAATGCTCCCAAATTTGGACTCCTTATTACAAACAGTAAAGAGAAACTGGAGAGCAACAGTGTAAGTTAGTTCATACCTTAAATTGTGACCAGCAAAGACAACTGCTTATAGCCAGGGAAGTGAAAAAGGGTCAAAGACACCAAGTGGTAGAAAACTGAATGGAGTAAAGTGAGAAGGTACCAAACAAACTATGAAGGCTTCAGCTGTTAAGACTAAAAAGGAGACAGGAAACAACCAGAGGTATGAAAGTAAAAGATGATAAAAATGTGTATCTTAAAGGAGATGAGGAAAGAAAAATATGAAGACCCCTATTAGAGGGCTTAAATCTACCCAATCAGCACAAAGGGAAGATCACTTCCTGAGAATGAGAAAAGTGGGGCAGAATTGAAGGATTGAAAACAAAAAAATGTTTAGGACATCAGCCTAGATTCTCACATGTGAATACAAAAAAAAAAAAGGCCCTGGCCAGACAACTCAGTCGGTTGGAGCATTGTCCCGATACTCCAAGGTTGTGGGTTCGATCCCAGGCCAGGGCACACACAAGAAGCAATCAATGAGTGCATAAAGAAAGAAAACAACAAATTTCTCTCTCAAATCAGTTTTTTTGAAAAGGAGGGGGGTAGGAATTAAACTAGAATTTTTATTGCACTTCTGGAAGGACTTGGTCCCAAAGATTCTTTACTGGGTCTCTAATTCCAGAGATCAAACAGATAGTGAAACTGGTTAAAGTCAGGGAGAAAAAAAATCACCAGGACCTAGTTTAGTTTACTAAGTCTAGGTCTGAGAAGATGACTATATTCAGAAGGAAGCCTCTGTATGATGTATGAGTTGTTGAATAATAAAATCAGATTAGAAGTATATTGATAATGTGGTTTGGCTAACTGCTGATAACTAACACAGAGCCAATGGTAAGCTATTATTTAGGCCAAACTCCATCCAAATCACCTGCAGATGTTTGGGACCCACCCCTCAAAGAGATTTACTCTATAAGGTGCCTCTCTGCCCTTTTTTTTTTTTGTCATACTAAGATATGAAATAAAAAAGTGGTATTACTCATTATTAGTAAACATCTAGACCAGTGGAGGAAAAGGGAGTATATACAGCATTTCTAAAAGTATCCTAATGTCACCATTTGTTAGGATACAGCTTCCTAATGCTGTACTTTGCAAACTGTAAAATTCTGAAAAAGATGATTTTTTTGAATATAAGGGAAAAAAAAAATCAAGGTCAAAAACATCAAGGCAGAATAGACAGAATCCTCAATCGCTGTGCTCTTATGATAATATAACTGTCAGTTCAATTTTTAGTTCTTTAAAAATCATTTAGTTAGAACATGTTTTTATCTTACCTGTTCTTTCTTCTAACTTAGCATACTTTGGAGTATTACACATGTTACACTCTGATCTTCTGGCCCAATTCACATTACTGCAACTTCAGAATTAAAAATACCAAGTTAGTAGATAACTAAAAGAAAAACAGTCAATTTTTAGATATTCTAGAATTTTAAAATAAAAACTAGGATAAATAAATACCATAAAAAATGTTTAATAAGAATATTGCATACAGCCCGGCTAGTATGGCTCAGTGGTTGAGTGTTGACCCATGTACAAAAAGGTTGCCGGTTTGATTCCCAGTCAGGGCACATGCCGGGGTTGTGGGCTTGATCTCCAGTGGGGGGTGTGCAGGAGGAAGCAATCAATGGTTCCCTGTCATCAATGTTTCTAGGTCTCTCTCCCTTCCTCTCTCTCTAAAAAGCAATAAAAACATCTTTTTAAAAAAAGAATATTGCAAACAAAGAAAATGTTCCATTGTAGTTTTTTTTCTGAAGAGAGAATGTGGGTTCTATGGCACCCTTGTCGTTTTATAAAAAATAAAATGACAAATTATATCCATAGAGATTTTGATGCTTGAGGGGGGAAAATATGATTTAAAATCAAAGGTTCTACTAATTTCTCAGTGTCTGAATTCACTTCAGAGTAAGATTTGTTTTTTTGAGGAGTCCATTCAAATAATGAATTCCACAGCATACCAAACCCAGTCTTAATCTATTGCTGGAAAATTTTTCAGCACAAATTATTATCTATAGGATCAGAAATCCTCTTTCATATATAGATTCATCTGTATAACATAAAACAATAGAAGTAGAAAAAAATCAGTACAGACCTTAAAAATAAAAAATATTAAGAAATCCATCTAATTAGAAATAATTATTATGGCCCACATGATTCTAAAATTACTTTATAAACAGGCAAAATGAATGTTTTGATGTATTATACAATAATAATTTAAAAAATTTTCAGTAATAAGAGTAGGCTTTTCTTGGAAAGTTAGCTCACCTTAAGCATTTGTTTACCGGTATACACACCCCATCATAGTTAACAACTAATATTACCATTAAAAAAATAGAACTTGCCCTGGCCGGTTTGCTCAGCGGTTAGAGCGTCAGCTTGCGGTCCAGAGAGACCTGGGTTCGGTTCCTGCTAAGGGCACATACCTCAGTTGCAGTTTGTCCCTGGCCCTGGTTGGGTTGTGCGGGTGGCAACTACTCGATGTGTCCCTTTCACGTCGATGTTTTTTTCTCTCTCTCTCTCTCCCTCCCACTCTATATGAACAAAATATCAAAAAATGTCCTCAGGTGAGGATAAAAAAAAAAAATAGAACTTATCTTCACACAGACTGAATAACAATCAACAGACCTTTAATTTAAAGGTTACCTTGGCTTGTTAATGTGACTAATAAGATCTGGTAATATTAACAAACAGTGAGATACAGTATTATGGACAAAGAGTGGATGATAATTAGAAACACATACGTTTTACACTGCCAGTCATTAGCACTAAATAGGCCTCGGCTCTTTTCTGCAAGTGTCTTTCCTATTTCAGTGCCCCCTGCTTTCATCATCTTAGCCTCAGTTGTTTTCTCTGAAAACAGAAAAATTATGCAATATGAATCTGGGAAAATAAGAAAATTATCTGTATACACTGTCCTAACAGAAGCTTCCTTAAATGCTTACCCCGACCGCATCTATTACAGCTGGTTCTTCTGGCAAAGTTTACATTTCCACATCTGAAAATAAAGTAAAAAATATTTACAAAAAATTTTTTTAATCAATATAATTTTAAAAATTCATATATACAACTTCTTACTGTGTCCTCCCTCACTATATACCAGGATCTAGAAACTCTAATGCCATCTAAGTTAATTCTAAAGCCATGTATTAATGTCAATCAATGTTAACTACAAAATAATAATAATAATAATAACAATCCTCACAATTTAGGTGGGAAAAGGTAAGATCTGAAGTCAGAAGTCCAGAAAAAGAAACTCAATATCTCACTTTCTAGTTATGTGATCCTGGTAAGTTACTTGGATCTCTCTCTCTGTGGCTCAATGTCCTATTAGCACATGCCATTACAGTCCTGCGCCAAATAGAATAATGTTTTGGTCAGTGATGGGGCTGAAAAATTCCTATTGCCTAGTGACTTCGTAGTGCAATGCATTACTCATGTTTGTGGGGATGCTGGTGTGAACAAACCTACTGAACTGCCAGTAATATAAAAGTGTAGCATATACAATTGTGTACAGTACATAATACTTGACAATGACAATAAATGACCGCATTACTGGTTAATTTAATCTTGCGTTGTTTTGTGCAGTAACATGCTATACAGGTTTGTGGCCTGGGAGCAATGGGCTAGGCTATAGCATATGGCCTAGGTGTGAGGTAGGCTATACCACCTAGGTTTGCGTGAGTGAACTCTACATTTGTAATGACAAAACGGCCTAATGACACATTTCCTTGAACAAATCCCTATAGTTATGGCACACAACTGTAATTTTTAAAAGTTGATTTTAAGGAGGAAGGATGGGGAAGGGAGAGGAGGGGGGAAGAGAGAGACATCCATCAGTTGTCTCCCTTGTGTTCCCCAACCCTGGAGATCCAGCCTGCAACCTAGCTATGTGCCCTGACTGGGAATCAAACCCTAGACCTTCTGGTGCTTGATGCACGGGATGAAGCTCCAACTGACTAAGCCACACCGGCTAGGGCAACATAACTGTAATTTTAATGAAATCCCCTTGCAAAGCTGAAGTAAGATATGACTCCACTTACAATTACTGACGAAGCACTAGGGAGGTCTAAAAAAACTTCAAAGTAACTCCCAGTATAGAAAATAAGAAAACACACACACACACGTGTTAAGTATTATTATAAAAAATACAAAATCCTAAGTGTGGACCAATGGGGAGAAAAATAAATCATAGAGGTCTTCATGGATCTTGATAAAATACTCTTTTTACAAGTAAGAGATGGGATAGTAAGAAAAGGAAGATAAATTGTACTGATAATTATAAGAAAATGGGAGTTTTTTGGTTTATGAAACCTAGTTTTAAAAAAGTGATAATCATAACCAATAACCTCCACACATGGAGTAACATCACTTTATATTCCACAAACTTAAAAACAAAAAATTACTGGATTTACTAACATGGTCTGAATAGTGCATGTGCGTATCAGTAACAGAAATGTTAAATGTAAAGTTTAACATTTTAAAAATTGTCTACTTTCTTTTTTAGTTATACTAGAATAAAATAAAGATGTGAAGTATGAAATTACCACTAAATGAAAGCACTCCAAATAATCCAAGCCCCCCCCCCCCCCAAAGATCCGTTCTGACCCAAACATATTCTGAAAAAATGTTTTCTGGATTTATACAGATTATAGAAATCATATTCTATTCACAGATTTGTAACTGAGTTGAAATGCACTCTAGGGAGACCTCCTTCAAATATTTGCCTGTGTTGCATTAAGGAGGTTGTCAAAAGCACATTATTCTACAGGTGATCAACACAAGAGAGAAGTTGCTGAATACCTTTTGAATGTTTTTAAATGGTCTTGCCACTCCAAGCAATGCTATTCATAACATATCACTCTTGTTCAATATTGTCAGATAGACTTTAAATCCTTCAGGTCATCTTAATCTTTATGCAGTTGACTTTTTATATACACTTTTTCATCTGATTCTATTTGTTCAATATTTTGTTTGGAGGTTCCTTGATAATTTTTCATGTAAATTTAGATCCTCCGTTCTAATTACTGAATAGTATCCCACTGTGTAAATATGTCAATATTTATTTCCACTACAGATTAACATTTAGGTTATTTATGGATTGTAGCTACCATAAATTGTATAGCTATGAATATTATGCAATTGAGAATCATCAACTTATTATGTAAAAATACAACCTTTCATTAACACTGCTTCGAATGTGGATAGAAGACAAATGAGGGGAAATAAGGACGTAATCTCCTTTAATGACACTAAGTGACTTAATTTTCTAAAACTACTATCAGTAGCTGTCAATGAGTATTTGCTACATGTCACTGCTCTCCACACACTATCTATACTATTTCATGTATTTATTGTAAGGAAGCCATTCTAGTCCAGTCTTTTTTTTTTTCCTTTTAGCAAAATTAAACAACCTACTTAAGGTTACATGGTTAACAAACAATGGGGCTGGAACTGAACCCGGGTCGCTCGCTTCCAAGTTTTCCCTCTTTACTATTATCAACTCTATGTCGGTGGCCAACTCAGGCACAAGAAACCAAAGGTTTCCACTTGAACAGGAGCGGCGCGTTACAATGACTTTCCGGAGTAATTTCCAGGTAACTACCAGCAGATACACCTACGGGAGCGCCTTTCAGTAACAACTAACGATCGGGGCGAGCGACCTGACTTCAGCAACAATGTCAAAGCAGAGCCATCGGAACACGTGCTCCTCTGCTGCAGGCCTTCCACCGCACAGAGCTGGCAAAACACCGGCTCGAACGAGGCCAAGGGATCCGTTCTTGGGGGAAAACTAAAGGCAAAAAGTCATCATTTCCCACCCCAAACAAGGGGACTGTTTGGGGGTAAACACACCCACCCACGACGAAGGAACGTTGGAAGTGTTTAAAACACCCGACAAGGTGAAGGATGAGAAGCAGGAGAGCGAGCTGGAAGAACGAGGCGCTTTCCTGCAACAAGATAAAGTTCTGCAGGGAAGAGTCACGTGAGGGCGATCAAATGCCAGGCGGGCCTCGCCGAGGGTTTCCTTATCGCCGAAACCTGGCCGGGCGCGAGCGGGGCGTGGGGGCAAGGAGGGGCCATCTCGCTCTCCAGAGAGGGGCTGTCTTGGAGACGTAAAGGCGAGGAAACGCTGGAGACACACTCAAAACAAAGGCTCTCGAAAGCCCTCCAAAAGGAGGGGACTGGGAGCCCCCTTCCCGCCCTGGAGCCCGCGATTCGCCGCCTCACCCCGGCTTAAGGTAGCAGGGATCGTAAAAAGAGAAAATGCCGAACCGATCTGGGAAAGGCTTCACGGATAAGCCCCGCTCCAATTCGGGACCATTCTTGAACTCACTTTTTGTCGGGGCAAATCCAGTCACCGTCACTGACTCGGAAATTCTTGGTCGACATCTTGAACGCCGCCACCACAGCCACCCGCAGCTACGTCTTCACAGCAGGAGAGCGGGCCGGGGTCTTTCGGCACTGCGGGGCTGCCCTCACGCCGCCTGACTCTTCCCCACCACTGCGTCAGGGCTTGATAATGAGGGCACTTGGCCGGGACTGAGTTTGAACGTTACTGTCCAGAGTAAGAAGCCTGTGCGATGTTTTCCCCGGCCAAAAGAGTTATAACGCAAATGTATTCTCTCGGGCTAAACTAACAGGCATCGCAGGGACACCTAAGGAGGGTGGGCTTCTCGGACCTAGAAGCCTTGGAGAGCCCCCTACAGGCGGGAGGACCCAAAAGGAAAGTACTTCCGTAGCTCAGATGGGCAGGGCTAATAGGCGGAGGCGGAAGTGATTGTGTCCCGCTCGGGTCTTGGAACGACGGGTTGCTCAGTCTACTTTTAAAGGGTGAGGAGCAGTAGTGGGTTATCCAAGTTTTTGGAACACTTAGAAGACTTATTTTAGTAAAGGACTGAAAATTTTGTTTTATTATGCACATGCGATATCGTTCAGAAAATTGTTGTTTTTTGATACATAAATACAGGTAAACAGTGTACACATGGAAACCGACCAGTAATTTTTGAACTGGGGTATTGCCAAAATTCGGAGTTCTTTTTTCTTTAATTGAATTTATTGGGGTGACATTGGTTCGCAAAACCGTACAGTTTTCAAGTGTACTACCCAATGAAACATCACACTGCAGCATGTGCCCATGGCCCCAAGCAGTCTCTTACCGTTCCCATTTTCCCCCACTTTGCCCCCCTGCACCTATCCCCACCCCCCTTTCCCTCTGGCTATCACCACGCTGTAGTCTGTGTCCGTGTGTGTGTGGTGTGTTTTTTTTGAAGGGTCACGTTCCTTAATCCAGCCCCTCGGCCTCCTTCCCCTCTGACAGGTGTCAGTCTGTTTCATGTATCCATGCCTCTGTTTCTATTTTGTCGGTCAGCTTGTTTTGTTCAATAGATTTCACATATAAATGAGATCATATGGTTTTTGTATTTCTCTGTTTTATTCTTTTCCATCCCCTTCATCCAGCGGTAACCCTCTTCTGTATTTTGGATTTATCCCTTTGCTTTTTAAAAGTTTAGTTTATGTACATATATGTTTAAATTGATAAATAGTTGAGCTTTACAAAGATAGTTATGTAATCACCTGTTAATTTTTCTTCCCTCAACAACATTCATCCCAGATTGTGGCATATACTTGCATGTAGCTGTAGTTTTTTTACTGCTATATGCTAGTAATTAATATTCCTTTGTGTGACAGTTTAGCCCTTTTACTTCCCAGGTTTTGTCATTACATACAATGCTGATATAAACATTCTTATGCATGGATCAGGATACAAAAATGCAAGAAATTTTTTAAAGCGCAGAATATACCTGAGAATGCTTTCAACTATTTTGTAGTTATAATAACTGCTTTAAAGTCTTTTTCTGATAATTGTAACATCTTGATCATTTAGGGGTTGGCAGCTCTTTATTTTATTTTTCTTTCAGAATCGATCATATTTTTTAATTCTTTGTATATCAAGTAATTGAGGTTTTTATCCTGGATAATTTGAATATTATGTCGCATAAAGTCTGAGTCCTGTTAAAAGCCTATGGGGAATGTTGATTTAATTTATTTTATTTTAGGAGGCAATCAGTCCAGTTTGGTTCAGATTAGAAGCTCAGTCTCACCTTCTGTGGGTGCTGGTTTCCTGTCCGGTCAGTTTTCAGAGGCTTTGTTATATTGTTTTGAGTCTGTCTTATATATAGAATACTCAGGGATTATTTTGGAACTTTGAGAGTAGTTGAAATTGTAGTTTAGTTCACATGTCTTTTGCTATGCAGCTTTATATCCTGCAGGTGCTCAGTTTAGGTGTGAGCACAGGACTTATGTGGTTTCACACATAGAATTGTGGGTCCCCTTCTCCAGTTCTCCCTTTTTTGATATTCCTCTCATACCCTCTGTTTTGCAGGATCCCCTTTTCCTGGCTCTCTTGCCAGAAATAGGAGGTTTCTCTTGGAGTTTCAGCTGCCTGCATAGCTACAGCAGCTGACAAGGGTCCACACTGGGGCAAAGAGATGAGAAAAGGGAGAAAAAAAAAAAAAGTCAATTACCTTTATACTCTTCAGACAACAGAGGCCCACTTTCCCATTTTCATTGTCTAGAAAGATAGGGCTTCTCTTGGTGTTGGAGCTGTCCAGGCCTAGGCCTTAACTCCCAGGTCAAAGCCCAGAGGGAAAAAAGGAGAAAAAGTAAGGTGTTTCCCACAAACTTTGGCTCAAAGAAGCCCCCTTTCCTCATTCAAATGGCTAGAAATAGGCTTTTGTTGTTCTCAGTTTTGCTGCCTGTGCTGCCCTCAGTGTCACTAGGTACCAAGGCTCAGATCAAAGCTGTGAGAGAAAACAAGAAAAACAAACACACAGACATTTCTCCCAAGTTTTGATTCTCCTCCCCAACCTGTCTGTTTCTGTATATTCTTCAGAGTCCTTGTCCTGAGCTTTTAGTTGTAATGAGTAGGAAAGCTAGGCTGCATTATTCTTACTCTACTTTTGCTGGAGTAATTTACTAGTACATATCCATCAGGATGGTTAAAATGGCCCTGGCTGGTATGGCTCAGTTGGCTGAGCATTGTCCCATGAACTGATGGGTCACGGGTTCAATTCCTGGTCAGTGTACATGTCTGGGTTGCCATATCCATCCTCTGTAGGGCATGTGCAGGAGGCAGCCAATTAATGTTTCTTTCTCTCTCTCCCTCTCTAAAAATCAATAAAAACATATTAAAAAAAAAAAGAATCTTAAAAAAACAAAAAGGATGAATAAAATGAAAAATTCAGACAATACCAAGTGTTGGAGAGAGTATGGAGAAAGTAGAATTCTTACACACTGCTAGTGGAAGTGTCAATTGATACATCTGGTTTGGAAAATGTTTGCCAGAATTTATTAAATTTGAATATATGCAAACCTGAAATTTCTACTCCCAAGTATACTCCCAACAGAAATGCACATAAGTTCACCAAAGATGTGTATAATAATGTTCATCACTGCACTATTCATAATAGCTCCAAACTAGAAGTTTTCAATTGCTTATGAATAAATAAGCCTGGTTAATAAATTGTCATATATTCACAGTGGAATACTATATGCAATGAGAATAAACAAATTGCAACCACATTGAACAGTGTAGATGTCATTCACAAATACAATATTGATTTGAAAAAGCCAGTCACAAACAAGTACATACTTTATGATTTCATGTACATGAAGTTCAAAAGCAGTTAAAACTAATCTAGGATAATGGTTACCCAAGGGAGTGGCATGGGGATAGTGAATAGAAGGGGACATGAGGGGCCGTTGGGGGTCCTGATAATATTCTTTGTGATAATCTGTGTTCTTGTTACACAGCTATCTTCACCTTATAAATGTTCATTGAGCTGCACCCTGTTAACCTGAAAATAAAAGCCAAAGTGAGAGGCAACAAGTGTTTGTTTGAGATCAAAGAATAGCTATTTGGGAAGCACTGATTTAGGTAGAAACCCAGATAATGTTCTGATTATGGGGTGAAGGCAAGAGGTTTTATAAGAAAAGGAAGGGGAGCCCTGGCCAGTTTGGCTCAGCGGTTAGAGCGTCGGCCTGCGGTCTGGAGAGACCCGGGTTTGGTTCCCGCTAAGGGCACGTACCTCGGTTGCAGTTTGTCCCCGGCCCTGATTGGGTCGTGTGGGTGGCGACCACTCGATGTGTCCCTTCCACGTCGATGTTTCTCTCTCTCTCCCCCCCCCCCCCACTCTATCTGAACAAAAAATGGAAATGTCCTCGGGTGAGGATAAAAAAAAATAAAAATAAAAAAAAGAAATAAAAAGAAAAGGAAGGGGAATACATGAATAGAAGGGAGAAATTTCTACTTGTGTTAATAAACTAAGTTATATCTTCACTATACATGGCCATTTACTAATTCTAAAGAATGTCTAATTACCCATTCTTGTAATCAGGAGGTCTGCTTTCCTGTTAGCTTTACAGATAATTGGGAAGACAGCGCTTCTCTGGCCCGGTCCAAAGGTTATGCCCAGTTCAAACATTTCAAAGGTTCGAGGGATATGACGTGCAATGCAGTTCCTCTGGAATGGTTGCCCTGCCTCCATTGTAAAATAGCTCCACTTTATCCATACTTTTCACAACATTTATGATTTGGGCATTATTTTTAACTTCAATAAGAAGTTTAAAAACTAAATACTTAGCCCAGCCAGTGTGGCTCAGTGATTGAGCATTGACCCATGCACCAAGAGGTCACCGGTTCGATTCCTGGTCAGGGCAACCCGATCCCCAATGAGGGACGTGCAGGAGAAGGCTAAATGATGTTCTCTCTCATCGATGTTTCTATCTCTCTCTCCCTCCACCTTCCTCTCTCTCTAAAATAAATGAAGAATAAATATTAAAAAACAACAACAACAACAACACTAAATACTTAAATTTACCCATCTCATTATATTCCACCTATTTCCTCATTTAGTAAATACTTACTAAATATTATACCAGCTTGAAGGGCAAAGGCAGTGATCCTGGACCCCTTTGTTACATGACTATCTTTGATACCTGTGTACCTCCTGGCTCTAATGGTGATTGAGATTTCTTACAGTTGTGATCTTGAATCTGTTGTAACTCATATAAAGTCATATTACAAGGCAACTAAGAAAAGACCCATTCTTGGTTTTACAGTTAACATTTAAGGTGACAATGATCCAAACTTTTGAAGGTTTACATTTCCAGATTCAAGGAGACTTCTTAAAGTACAGATAAATTAAGCAGATTTTATATTTTTGTTCAGACATATGCAGGAAAAAACATCTGCTATTCAAAAACAATGAAAAATAACTTCATAAAAAGTTCCAAATCTTAAATTCACCACATGAGTCATAATTGAGATATTTTAAAATAACCTTTTTTTAGTTGACCAGAATTTTTTGCTTCATTTTATGGTACATAAATCCTTGTTTTATAAAATATCTGGAATTATAACTTAACAAGCACCCATAAAAT